CGCATCGTGACATGCAGATAATTACCTAGCTACTGCGTATCGGAGAAATCTTTTCGTCACAGGGTGGGAGTAGTGCCTCGTCAAAGGGGTACGAGAATAGAGATGTTAATTCACAACCACAAATATCTGATCTCATGCACCTGCAGAATACCAGTCATTCCAAACAGTGAGACTATGTGCCGTTGTACCCACGAGATTGTGCACACGGACCCCTGTTTCCTTAACCCGCGAAACGCTATACCCCAAACTCGCTAGTGGCTTACCCCAGCTTCCACTTGTGTCATCGGCTGCGGTAACTGTCGGCTTTGGTCGTTCACAATACCAAACCTCGGCGGCAGTACATGAAGATGTTTCTTTCACAGAAAGAATCTGCACACAAATCACGCCCACCATGAAGTCATTCGCCAGCAGAGAAGCATCCCGCGTGTTTTCGCGCCCAAACCTCGCCCACCGCGCGTCAATTACTGCACCCAGGAATGCAAACATTCGCATACACGAGCAGAGAAGAGGGTTTCGGGGGACAAAGCGGCTATTGGTCGTCAAGCCTTACCTTTTGGCGGATATTGGAGAAGGTAAGTAGGCGAGTCAGAGATGCTGGTGGCTGCGGCTAATCATGCTGTGCCCAGGTATTACCGAATGCCAGGTCATCCAATGGTTCGTGAAGCCCGGCGCGCGCGTCGAGCAATTCGACCCTATCTGCGAAGTGCAGTCGGATAAAGCATCTGTCGAGGTACATGCCGTCTAGGATACAGTCAGGGCGAGGACTAATTTCCGGCAGATCACCTCGCGATTCGATGGCATCATCAAGAAGTTGTACTACGAGGCGGATGACATGGCGAAGGTTGGAAAGGTAAGCTTGAAATCGGGAAAGTACTACCGAATATGAGCTGATTCCAGAAGCCTCTAGTAGATATCGACATTCAAAGCGACATCTCTCCTGCCGACGAGGCCCTGCTCAACGGAGGATCAGGCAAACAAGACGACGAGGTCTTACTCACCGGAGGCGGCGGCACCCAAGAACAAAAAGCACAAAGCTCTGCAGAGCCACAAGAACAGGGGATCGAGCTTGGGAGGAATGACACAAAGGCTGCGGCTGAAGACGTGCCTGTGTCAGATCAAAGCACGAGTCTGCCATCCGAACCATCCACAACACAAAGACAGCCGGGAAAGCATGCATCGCTCGCCACCCCAGCTGTACGACATATGGTCAAGGAGCACAGGCTCAAGATCGAGGATATAGAAGGCACGGGACGGGAGGGTCGCGTACTCAAGGATGATGTACAACGGCACGTCGAATCGATGAAGCAAACCACTACAACACCATCGGCAACCTCGACTCCGGCCCCAATGATTACACAACAAATGGAGGACCAAGTCAAGCAATTGACTCCAGTTCAGTCTGGCATGTTCAAGCAGATGACCAAATCTTTGTCCATCCCCCACTTCCTATACACCGACGCTGTAGACTTCAGCTCCCTCACTTCGCTCCGCAAAAAGTACAACACAGGTCGCGAAAAGCCAGAACGGATAACGCCGCTGCCAATTATCATCAAGGCCGTATCGCTCACGCTCCAGCAATTCCCGCTACTCAACTCACATCTCGACACTACGACGAACCCGAACAAGCCACAAATCATACTAAAGGGAAGCCACAACATCGGCGTAGCAGTAGATTCGCCGGCGGGTCTTCTCGTCCCCGTCATCAAAAACGTCCAAAACCACAGCATCGCCTCGCTAGCTCAAGAAATCCAACGCCTCAGCTCGCTGGCACGCGCTGGCAAACTCTCATCCGCTGATCTCACTGGCGCGACCTTCACAGTCAGCAACATTGGTAGCATAGGCGGCGGTGCTGTGGCACCTGTCATCGTTGGACCCCAAGTTGGTATTTTGGGTATCGGTAAAGCGAGAGTGGTGCCGGCGTTTGGGGAGAACGATGAGCTGATCAAGAGGGAGGAGTGTGTGTTTAGCTGGAGTGCTGATCATAGGGTAGTGGATGGCGCGTATGTAGCCAGGGCGGCAGAGGAGGTGAGGAAGTGCTTGGAGGGTGTTGAGGCGATGCTTGTTAGGATGCGGTAGGGGTGAGAGATAGAGGCATGGTAAAAGCGAAAAAACACTTTACTTCATACTCCCGCGACTATCGTCGATCATTTCGTGGTGTAAATGGTCGTCAACGGTTCTGGTGGTCTGTGTGTTATCAACATCGTATTGAATTTGTGGCTGTATTACTACCAAATTCCTGCTATCATTTGTAGACTAGAAGCTGGTGTTCGTCATTGCCTTTGCAGAACTCGGTGGCAAGAGCAAACATCTGGGTTGACTCTTTCTAGTCTTCCTAACCCCTCATTCCGATTTTTCGAATCGATCTCATGACTATGACGGAATACCGACAGCACACTCAAGCCGCGCCCTTCAGCACCTGCTCAAGGCTGTTCTTGCTGTTCGTATACGTCTTCTCAAGGTAATCTTCCTTCTTATCCAAATTGGTCATCTCCTTGTTCAACGCCTCACTCTCCTCCTGGAGCCTCTTCTGCACATCTGGAATAGGCGTACAGACGAACCTGTTCATAGCAATCAGTCTCTGTATTTCATCTCATCCCACTTCCTCTCCCGCAGTCGCGAGGGGCAAATATCGAGACATGCAACTTACATCTTGCCAACACCCTCATACACCTTTGTCTCTGCAGGCAGCGACGAGACTTCCGAGGAAGTGAGTTGCAGCATACGCCCCTCTCGTGTCCGGGCTGCTTTTTGTTGTTTGACAATGACGAGTTGTTGTTCGGCGAAGGCCTTCTTTTGGCTGATTTCTTGTAGGACCTGGGTGTTTCCGCGTTAGATCCCCGCTCTTTTCTCTATCCATCACATCGCAATGATTGACGCACCTTCTGCAAGGCCTCGTTTGACATGGACATGGTGGACGGAGATTTGGTAATGTTGACGATTGGCTCGTAGGTCTCGTGAGAGCGCTGGCCTGGCTGCTGCTTCTCAAGCTTTCTCGGTTCGGTAGTTGCGAGAGACCCTGGGCGGATGTGATTGGCTGTTTGGATTCACACCGAAAACTGCACCGTGAGCTTGCAGCCTCGGGAGCCAAGCTTTCCGACGTGTGCGAGAGGTATACGTTGATGGTATGAATGCGTGCTGGGGGTGATTCCTTTTGCGCAGTAATCCTTACTGTTTGCCCACGTGTGGCGTGGTAGTCTGGCAGCCTATCGTTGGAGCATGGGCCTCTCGTGTCGCGGATTGTCGCTCTCCAGTCTTTCCTTCCGCAAAAGCCGGTGCTAGATACAAGCTTGATAGCGAGGTCAAACACCTGCAGTTTCTCTTTCCTCAACCTCTCACTTCTTTCTTTTTCTCTTTTCAGGATTCTTGTAGAGTGAAGATGGCTGCGTTCTTTTCCCGTCTACCGTCGATACCGTACCCGCCTGAACAAGATGGGTTCTTCTCCCCGGTCACCTCTACTCTCGATTGGTGTGAAGAGGTTAGTTGAGAGGGTCATTGCGTTGAAGATGCGCATGCTAACCGTTTGAAGAATTATGTAGTCACGCAGTACTCTGCGGAGATTATCAACACGCTCACGAATCTGCTGTTCATGTACCTCGCTGCAAAAGGCATACGCAATTGCTTGAAGAATGGACATGACACCGTCTTTCTCGTGGCGTTTATTGGCTATCTACTGGTTGGAACTGGGAGCTTTCTCTTTCACGCGACATTGAAATGTATGTTCGCTGCTGAATCAATCGTTCACACGCAGTATCTGATACGTGTCAGATCCTATGCAGTTGGTAGACGAGCTTTCGATGATCTACACAACTTGCTTGATGAACTTTGCGACGTTCTCTTATGGCAAGTCAAGGCTGTACTCTACGGTTCTTGCAATTGGGCTTGTGTCTCTTGCCGCCTTCATTACGCTCTACTACCACTTCCTCCAGGACCCCACCTTCCATCAGAACGCCTATGCGATTCTCACAGCGATTGTCCTGTTCCGCGCCATGTATGTAATGGAGGTGAACATCCGCCCGCGCTTCAAGTCCAAGGAGAGGGAAGCAGCGAACCCGCGGCCGCACGGAGGTGTAAAGGCGGTACAAGAGAGAGAAGACGTGCGCGACCAGGAAATTCTCAGTAAGATGTGGCAGATGATTGGATTCGGCCTCAGCATCTTCCTGGGAGGCTTTGCTGTCTGGCACCTCGACAACGTGCATTGCTCGCAGTTGATCCAGTGGCGAAGGGAGATTGGTATGCCCTGGGGTTTCGTGCTCGAGGGTCACGGCTGGTGGTGAGTATCACATTCATCTTAGAAAGACGAAAGCTCACAATACCAGGCATCTCATGACGGGAACTGGAGCCTACTACTACATTGTATGGGGCGTATGGCTGCGACACTGCCTCAACTACAGACAGGACGAGTATGAGCTTTACTGGCCAAACTTCTGGACGATGCCGCAGGTTGTCAAGCGACAGGCAGGTGGTCATGCAAATGGCTCAACGAAGAAGGAGCTATAGGCGGTGACGACGTGGAGTCTTGGGCAGGATTAGGTTCGCGTGTCAGGGAGGATTTATGCATGTGCTTTGCAAGATCAGCGTTGTGTGGTATTCTGCGCTGCGAACGACGACACTGATAGGCGGATTTGATAGGGGATGGGATGGGAACAACAAGTCCGCAACCGCCTCCAGTAGCACGTCTATCACGACATGAAACCAGCCAGTAATACAAGATACTGCAAAGCGACGAAGCCATTCGACAGCAACGACTTGTGCCTTGCTAGTGCAGCTGTACATGTTCATGACTAGCCCCTTCAGCCGGCAGGCACCAGCTTTGGCGCGTTGTTAGTAAATAGCTTTAGCGCCGACGGCCCGTGCAGACGACCCACAGAGATCTTTAACGCACTCACCGCTTCTGCTCCTCCTGCTCTCCACACCAGCACCACCACCAGCGACCAGCCATAACCCAGCTCCTCGCATCTTCACCTCTCCAACTTCCATATTCCTCGCCCCCAACCGCCAACATGCGTGAGATTGTACGTATCGCCCGCACTGCCGCCTAGTCGTGGCGCGTCGCTGCCCCGCGCCGAGACTCAGGGACAACAAAGAACAACAGCTAACGGCGTTTCTCTGCAACAGGTTCACCTTCAGACCGGTCAATGCGTAAGTTTTAATATCGCTCCTCTGTGTACAGACGACAGCTAACACTGCCCAGGGTAACCAAATCGGTGCCGCCTTCTGGCAGACCATCTCCGGCGAGCATGGCCTCGACGGCTCCGGTGTCTACAACGGCACCTCGGACCTGCAGCTCGAGCGCATGAATGTCTACTTCAACGAAGTGCGTCCCTCGATTACGCTTTTGGCAGATAAAAGACCAATACTGATCTACAGCAGGCGTCCAACAACAAGTTCGTGCCCCGTGCCGTCCTCGTTGACCTCGAGCCCGGTACCATGGACGCCGTCCGCGCCGGCCCCTTCGGCCAGCTGTTCCGCCCCGACAACTTCGTCTTCGGCCAGTCTGGTGCTGGTAACAACTGGGCAAAGGGTCACTACACCGAGGGTGCCGAGCTCGTCGACCAGGTCCTCGACGTCGTGCGCCGCGAGGCCGAGGGCTGCGACTGCCTCCAGGGTTTCCAGATCACCCACTCCCTCGGAGGTGGTACTGGTGCCGGTATGGGTACGCTCCTCATCTCCAAGATCCGTGAGGAGTTCCCCGACCGCATGATGGCCACCTACTCCGTCGTGCCCTCCCCCAAGGTCTCCGACACCGTTGTCGAGCCCTACAACGCCACACTCTCCATCCACCAGCTGGTTGAGAACTCCGACGAGACCTTCTGCATTGACAACGAGGCTCTCTACGACATCTGCATGCGCACCCTCAAGCTGAACAACCCTTCATACGGCGACCTGAACCACCTCGTCTCCGCCGTCATGTCGGGTGTCACCACCTGCCTGCGTTTCCCCGGTCAGCTCAACTCCGACCTGAGGAAGTTGGCCGTCAACATGGTTCCCTTCCCCCGTCTCCACTTCTTCATGGTCGGATTCGCTCCCCTCACCAGCCGCGGCGCCCACTCCTTCCGCGCCGTCACCGTTCCCGAGCTCACCCAGCAGATGTTCGATCCCAAGAACATGATGGCTGCGTCCGACTTCCGCAACGGTCGCTACCTGACCTGCTCTGCCTACTTCCGTGGTAAGGTTTCCATGAAGGAGGTCGAGGACCAGATGCGCAACGTCCAGAACAAGAACTCCTCCTACTTCGTTGAGTGGATCCCCAACAACGTCCAGACCGCCCTCTGCTCCATCCCTCCCCGCGGCCTCAAGATGTCCTCCACCTTCGTCGGTAACTCGACCTCCATCCAGGAGCTGTTCAAGCGTGTCGGTGACCAGTTCACTGCCATGTTCAGGCGCAAGGCTTTCTTGCATTGGTACACTGGTGAGGGTATGGACGAGATGGAGTTCACTGAGGCTGAGTCCAACATGAACGACTTGGTCTCCGAGTACCAGCAATACCAGGAGGCTTCCGTCTCCGAGGGTGAGGACGAGTACGATGAGGAGGCTCCTCTCGAGGCTGAGGAGTAAGCTGGTCATGGCTGACGTCCCGCTGGGCTTGGTTGTTGGAATATTTCACGTGTGGACACGAGCGTTGTAATTCGATTCGTACTTTGAGCGACCTGGCTGTGATCCGACATGTTGCGAAAGTGACTAGACAGACATGGCAGGCGTCTCAGCTTCTTGTTAGCGAAAAGATGCTATAATCAAATATTGTCCACTAAATGGTGTATTGTGTGTACCAATTACGTCCTATTAATCTCCTTCGCCATGTTCTCGCAGGTGTTCTAGGTAACCTACGAGCCTCTTCTTGATAATCACACCCACCAGTTGTCCTGTGCCCTCTTTGGTCACCATAAGGTATCTCAACCCCAGCTTGGAGAACATCTCGACAGCATATTCCAGAGGTGCTTTCGCACAGATGCTCAATGGTGTCCGATCCACAAATGGCGTCAAATCCATCTCCAAGCTCATGGGACTCGCTGGCTCATCAATCTCCTGGCCTAACAACCTGACCTGGACATCCTCTTCCTGCGCCGACACAAGCACACCAGGAACGAGTTTCGTCAATCCAAATTCAAGCTCCGACTGCGAAATGTACCCTTGCAACACTTCAACGCCGCCACCATTCTTCTGTACTAGAACAAGACCCGCGTCCATGAGACCCCGTTCTCTCAACGCATCGAGCTTCTCCTTCAGCAGAGTCAGAGCTACTTTATTGCTTGTAGGTACATGAACGGTAATGTCAGCCATGGTGCGCTGAGGGGGGATGAGGACCTCGACGCAGGCTTTGTGGCGGCGGACGATGGAGAGAGCGGTGTCTGGGTCGAGGAAAGGGTGAGAGAGTAGGGATTGAGCGAGGTCGTAGACGCCTTCTGACGAGATTGCGTCGGCGACCCATTTCGCGGTTAGGATGGCGAGCATAGAGGGAACGGTGTAAGAGAGTTGGCCTGTGAGTTCGAACATCTATACAGAGCGTTAGTTTGAGGCATGCCTATAAGGGAAAGAGAAGGAACAGGACTTACGATGACAGCAAGGGATATAGTCATCCGAGATACACCCGCCAGAAACGCAGCAGCACCCACCATGGCGAAGATACCCGGACTGATCGAGCCAATAGCCTGACCAACCAGCCTCCCAAAGAAAGCACCGGCATCCAGCGCTGGAATAATAACGCCAGACGGGACCTTGATCCCAAACGTAATAGTAGTAAGAACAAGTTTCGCCAACGTCCCATACGTCAACCAACCCACATACTCCCAATTCGCCGTCCCCCTTTCCCTAGCAACCCTCTCATTCCGGCAAACCCAAGACAAACTCGACTTATCCTCCCCACAATCCACCAACAAATTCTTAATAATCACATCCCCCGGTTGCCTTGTCAACGGATTAGGATACTGAATCAGCGCCGTCGCAAGCACCACCAACGCAACCTCCAACACAGGCCATCTTTTAATAACGCCAAAAGCCCTAAACCACTTCGACCACAGGAAATTGAACTTGCAAAACAGGCCTCCGAAGATACCGCCCGCTACGCCCAAGAGGACGAAAACGAAATAATGGATGGCGTTGTACTCATCCCCAAACCGCGATTCAAAAAGCACCAATTTGCCCGTGCCGGTTGGATTAAGTTCTTTGAGCACCATCGCCGCAGTAAGACTACATAGAAAAGCCCTCCACAGCACTTTCCGCGGGAAATACGTACTAATCTCCTCGTAGCTGAACAGCACGCCTCCGATCGGCGCACCGAACGCTACTGACAGTCCCGCTGAGCATGCCGCGCTGAGCAGCTCTCGCATCTTGCGGCCATTGGATGCGTATTTGGGTATGAGGCGCCCGGTTAGGTGGCCGATGCAGGTGGAGATGTGGACAAAGGGGCCTTCTTTTCCCAGACAGAGGGACGAGGATACGGCGAAGATAGCGCCGAGGGATTTTACGATCAGCACGGGGAGGGAGAGGAAGGAGGGGATGGAGAAGCCCGAGAGGATGGTTTTTATTTCGGGGATGCCGGAGCCGGAGGCTAGATACATTGTTTTGCCTTGGACGGTTGGTGTGGTGGGTGGGTTGGAGGAGGGAGGGGAAGAGGAGGAAGTGTTGGTGGTGGTGTGGCCGTTGCTTGCGTTCTTCGTGGTAGGGCTGGAGGATGAGGTTGATGGGAGGGTAGACCGAGTTAACATGGTTAAACTCGAACTTATGATGCCGAATGCCATTGCCATGCCCACGTAGATTGCAAAACTGCTCTTGTAATCGTGGCTCCAAACTTTCCAGTCCGCACACTCTTCTGCCCCTTCTTTCGTCAACAACCCTATAAATGAACTCTTCTCAGCAGCGACGCAGCAATTCTCTCTGTTTCGCAAGAAATGGCCAGAGCAATACCCGGTTTTCCAGTCCGAAACAGTTACGACGGCGATGTCAACGAGGAAAGCGATACATGCCGTTAATGCACCAATGACTACGACAGCGAGCCAGCCTGAACTGGCGTCGAGGAGGGTGAGCAGTTTGTAGCGGAGACCAGGATGGGAGTGAAGGGCGCGGTAGCGGTATGAGTCTTTGACCTGGGTTTGCATATTAGCAGACTAACAGGGGGAGGTTGCATTTGACAAGAGATGTTAGTACCAAATCGTGGAGCCAATCGATGGTGGTGTAGTCATTATATGGCAATCGTTCTCCGACTGGACTTTCCGCTAACTGCTGTTCTTCTTTCGTTACCGTGGATGCGATGATTGAGGATGCTTCTTCGTCTTGTTCGTGTTGGAGATGGGATAGTCGGGCTTGGTGCAAGAGAGGGGTGCGTTCATTGCCGTTCTCTTCATCAGAAGCCATGGCTGTGTATTTGAATGAGGTATCAACGAGAGTGAACAGAAGACAGCTTTACGCGGATAACTGAGGTACATATCGAAAGCTTCTATGTGGCTTATCCAATGACGCAGACAAGCCTATCCCAAACGCACGCTTATCTGCCGCGGAAATAGATCTACTCGCAAAGCCTGGGGTAAACGTTGTGGGATGGGATGATTGCTGGGCTTGGCTGGGGGTAGTAGAGATAAGGAAAGCACGCTAGATGATTGGTGCGCAAAGTCACTTCCTGTGCAACTACACCAACTCTCAACACTCGCGATTGCATTAGAATAAACCACAATCGCAGAAGAAGCATTACAGTACTCTGAGAAACTACATGGACATGTCTCTGTTACAGGAATCTTACCATTTCCAACCTTGAACCCACCGCCTTGAACCAGAACACCAGGTGAGGTCCAATATCCAGACTGAACATACACGGTATCATGGAGGCCCAAATCATGACTGACAAAGGAAATCGATGCGGCTCTGAGTAGAGAGGTGATGGAGAAGCAGGCGCTACAAGCGATTGCCGCTAGACGTATTATGCGGATGCCGCAGCGTTCTTCTGAGCAGCGTAGGCGTCTGTGTATTTCTACGGATATGTTAGAGCCTGTATCAACGTCGTGTTTGTTATGCATACCTTCTTCTCAGCAGCGCCCAAAGACTTCCACTCCTGGGAGATGAGTTTCATAGCCTCGAGAGGGGAAATGTTCTTGAAGTCTCCAGACGCAAACCTTTCTTTGACAAAGGCGGCATAGGCGGGTATCACTTTGTTCACATGACGCTCATCGACAAGCTTGGCAGTATGAGCAGGAGCCTTCTTCTTTTCACTCGCATAGATCCTCCGTAACTGGGCACGTGCGTTGTTCGCAATGCGGATCTGGTCGGGAGTGTAGGCCTTGAGCCATGCGTCGTACTCGGCTCTTCTAGCGACAGTCCTCTCGCTGGCGAGGTGGTTGTAGTGCTTCAGACAGTTAGTATAGTGGGATGCACTGTGAGGCGGACAGGGCTTACCTCAAGCTCAGCGGGGGTCAACTTCTGGAACTCGGCCGTAGCAGCCGGAAGTTGCCCAGTCTTTTGGCCCGGAACACCAGCCAGCTTTTCAGCTAGGAAGACATGGAGAGCAGACAATGACCTGCGGCTTACGGGCTCCTTGAGTGCCTTGGCGCGTAGCTCTCGGAGCTTGACCTTTTGTTGTTCTTCGGGCGTCAAGACCTTCTTGACGCGCTTCTTGGGCGCGGGTTTCTTCGCGGCAGGCTTCTTTGCCTTTTTCTTGGGCACCGCCTTCTTTGCTGCGGGCTTCTTCTTGGGAGCCGCCTTCTTTGCTGTTGTGGCCGTCTTCTTGGGCGCAGGCTTCTTAGCGGCGGCTGTCTTGACCGCCTTCTTCACTGTCGCCGTGGGCTTGGTGGCGCGCGTAGTTGTAGCATACGACCGACGGTTCTGGAGGGCAGAGGCAAAGGCGCGTGAGAGGGCGCGCGCATGCGGGAGTTGGGCGGCATTGCGGGCGAGGAGGGTGCGGGCGAGGGTGCGGGCGAGCTGCGGCATGTCGTGTGGGGAGGCCCTGGGAGCGTCGGCTGCCAAGCGGCAGAGTGCGCCGGCCAGCATCCCGAGAATTCGGGGGCGTGTCGTCGGGGCGCGTGGTGGTGGGATTGACGAGCGGCGGCGCAGCTCTGGGCGGGCAATTGACGGGGTGTTTAGGCGTTGGACCGTCGGCGGTGTAACGAGAGGTTGGGAGCTAGAGAGACTAGCAGGAACGTCATCTAAGGAGGGCGTAGTCAGGCACGCTCTGCATCGCATCCTCTACCCCACCATCGCGAAGTCACTGTGCCATCACCGTCGCCAATGTCAATGCGCCAGGGGCCACATATCTTTTTTCAAGCTACGACCGGGTCTCATGTATATACAGTCTATTGTGCAAACGTGCACGCTCAACACATCGCATTTATATCAACTACTTACTTATATCACCTTGTAACTGTTGTCATGTTAGCGAATGATCTACATGGTGACGGGGAAGCTCATACCTCCACGGGTGGTCCTCGTCGCCGTACTGAATGGCCTCCATCCAGTCCTTCATCTGCTGTGCAATTGGGCCGGCCTCGACGTGGTCTTCGAGCCCGCAGTCAACAAGCTGTCCCTTCCAGCTGATCTTGCGCACCGGAGCGACAATGGCAGCAGTGCCGGCACCGAAGATCTCCATCATGCGTCCCTCGTTGGCAGCGTCGGCCACCTCCTTCATGGTGAACTTGCGCTCCGATACGGTCCAGCCCTTGGGCACCAGACGTTCCCGCGCAAGCTCGAGGATTGAGTCTCGCGTTACTCCCTCAAGAATAGTTCCGTCGAGAGGCGCAGTGAGCAATTCTGGCTTTCCAGTCTCCTTGTTCTTGATAGCGGCAAACAGGTTCATGGTGCCGACCTCGGTGATGAACTCTTCTTCGCCAAACAGCCACAGATTCTGGTGGAATCCGCGGCTTGCAGCCTGCATCTGCGGAACGATGCAAGGTGCGTAGTTGGCACCAAGCTTCTTGTCTCCAACACCTCCAGGCCACGCGCGCACAGCGTAGTCTGTAGCCTCGAGCGAGATAGCCTTGAATCCGGTTGGGTAGTATGGGCCGACGGGGGAAGCGATCACGTAGAGCAGTGCAGAAGCGGGAGGGCCGACGCCGAGGGTGCGCTGAGTGCCGATCATCGTTGGGCGAAGGTAGAGAGAGTAGCCTCGCGCACTGGTGTGGTCAGAGTGTGTCATAGCCAACAGATGATTCAGACTGAACGTACTCGGGAACGAAACGCTCATCCTCCTTCACAAACTTGCCGATGAGCTCGATCAAGGCATCGGGGTCGAATGTGGGCAGTGCAATTCGCGCCGATGACTTGTTCAGCCTGGCCATGTTCTTGTCCGGCCTGAACAGCCTGATGTTGCCGTTCTTGTCCTTGTAGGCCTTCATGCCCTCGAAGCACTCGAACGCATAGTGGAAGACGCACGTCGCGGGGTCGAGACTGAGGTTCTGGTAGGGGGTAATGCGTGCTGGGAGCCATCCTTCTGTTGCTGTCCATTCGAGCGACAGCATGTGATCTTGAGTACGTGTTAGATGTGAAGTTTGGTGCCATTGGAGCTGTTACCAGAGAAGTTGCGGCCAAAGACAAGTTCTTCATGCGGCAGCAGATCTTTGGGCGTCGTCGTCTTGGTTATGGAGAGCTTGGTCGGGTCGATATCCTGTATCTTCTCGCCGACAGACTTGTCAGCGTGAATGCTGTAGGGTCGCTGGGTCCGACATCGCAGCGACGCGCTGAGCGGTGCTACAGGCGAACGGAAGGCGCCACGGGACAGGCAAGAGAGCAATCGTGAAGACCGCTGCGGAAGCATTGTGAGGGATGCAGTGCAAGCGGAGAGGGTGGGGCGGGAGGAGAGTTGGTGCAGGTGGTGGATTCCAGAGTAATAATTATTTTGGGCTACAAGACCGAAGCTGACCGCAGCCTGGAGATATCGGACCTCGCGACACAGTCGCGACAGTCACCTCCGATCGCGCACTGCACCAGCCACCGAACAGGCAATCGTAGGGCGCGAACGACATCTGAATAATCGTCAGCGCGGATATCTGAGGTTATTCGCGTGCTTGGTATCCTGGCCGTTGCTGCATTCACACTGCCCATGTGTGCTGCGTGCGCTCACGTCATGCAAGGCGGGAGACTAGAGACGGCCCTGGCATCCATGGATCCTTCTCCACAGCTCGCGTGGGGGAACTAACACTTGGCTTTGTCTATCAATTGACTTTTGGATCTCCGCCATCGTACCCACGAGTCTAGACATTGCGCGACTCCTTGGTGATTATCCCAAGACATTTTGCGGAAAGAGCGTCCCGAATGTCTTGATCCTCTCGGCAGTTCCAGCTGTCTGTCTCAGATCTCACGCGCATACCAACACTGCCCACGCCAAACATCACAGTCCATGACGCCCTCGCTCGACTCCCACAGTATCGCCGCGCGCGCGAATAGACCACCAGCACCATGTTTTCCAACGCCCTAAAGTCCTTCACTTCCAACATCTCGAGCAACTACACCCTCAGCCCCCAGCCCACGTCGTATTCAGGGCCATGGAAGATATACGACGCGAAGAAGAAGTCGACGGGCAAGGCGGCATCTGTCTTCGTGTTCGAAAAGAAGTCGTTGGAGCCACCAGCTGGCGCAGGCT